AAGTCTTTTGGGAGGCATCCATTCAAAAGGTGACCTAGAGGGACCAGAAGTTGAGACACTGACAGGAAATTGAATTCAAACAGGCTGAGAAAAGCGAGGAATCACTCCCAAGAATTACTCAGTAGCACAACACTGATTCAACACACAGTTGACCTAACATTCTTAGGTTTCTGGAGTAGGATTTTATGGGGTGAGGCCTTAGGGATACTGATGAATTGACAAGGACTTCTGGTCACCTTGTCCTCTAGTAACCACCGAATGTCTTTGACCTCAAATGGCCTCAAGTTCAACTGGGGGGTGTTCAGTGCCACCAAGTCCCGTATACCCACTGAAGTCTGGAGAAGTTGTAGATGGACAGGTCAGCCTCACCGCTGGGTTAGGAGGGAAGTTGAAGATGCCTTGGTCTTACATAAGCTTCCTCAAAGACCCAAATCCAGTCTTCTGATTATTTACAGTCTCTCATGGCTCCACAGAAGGCCAAGCCCATAATAAGCATTTGTTCCTTATCAGTTTAAACCTTGCTCCAAACTAAGCGACTTTGGATTTAGAGCCAAAATCCTGGGTTCGTTTTTGAATCTTGGGGCTACTCATGTGTTCCGACTTTGGCTGGAAAACCCCTGCCACCCCTGCAGAGGGAACACCGAGCGGGCCCTCCTCTGCCCTCCACATGCCTTTGTGCATACTTCACAAGAACTGTCCCTGCTCATTGAAAACAGCCGGGTCAAGGTCATCGACTCTTTTCAGTATTTTTCCAGCAGGAACATTCATTCATTGTTTTAGCATTTTTTAAAGGCAGCACAGCATAGTGATTAAGTACTTGGGGCCTGGAGCCAGACCGCCTGGATTTAAATCATGACTCTGCCACTCAGCTATGTTGCTTACATACTCTGTGCCTCAGTTTTCCAAGCTGTAAATGAGGATAATTACACATATAGACACACATACGTACCTATGTGGGTGTGGATGCGTGTAGCTTACCAGAATGCCTACCTTATGGTAAGTATCAGTATGCTTATTATCATATATAATTTTTAAAAAAAATTTCAGACACTCTAAGGTTAAGTGGAAGAAAATGCTTACTATGTGCAACTCTTGCAAACACTTCGCATGTGTTGCCTTCACTCAGGATAACTCCATAGATGCCATTGTCCCTTTTTTATGCATGGAAACTAAGTCTCAGAAAGCTTAAATAAATTGTTCAAGGAACTCAGATTTCAGAGCTTAATCGTTGTAACCACTGTGCTGTGTATGAAACTTGTCTTCCCAAAAAGTATAATCTCGTGGCTCTAACAGGCTGGTAGTGGTAAGAGTGGTGGCCCCAGCAATGGCAGTGACAGTAATAACCCCAGCTGAGTGGTGAGAGGGCCTGGCGTGTGGCATCCGCCATTGCCCGCCACTCCCTGTGGCTCGTGAGGGAGACAGTATTACAGTCCCTACAGATGCAGAAGCCAGGAAACACCGCTGCTGTGGCGGCTGTCTTGGGACTGAGCCAAGATTTGAGCCTAAAGTTGCCTCATTCCAGTGTCCTTGGCCTGAAAACCATCCTGCATGCCTCCAGCCTGATTGCCATGTCCTGGACCAGGCAGCCAGGTGTGTCAGGCAGGACAGACTTGTATGTTCAGTGGACTTGGGAGCTTTCTTCTTGCCTTCCGCTCATAAGTCCCTCTCACCTGACTCTATAATTTTTTTTTTAAGTCCCAAAGAAGGTTAAAATACAGAATCTCCTGGGTCACACCGCAGGAGCTGTAATAAAGTCCTATTTTGTTTTGTTTTGTTTTGTTTTTGTCGAGTGTGAGTCAATTTAATGATCTGCAGCATGAATGAATTTAAGGGGTTTTCTTAAACTCAGATCAAATATTGATTAAGCCAGGACCACAGTTTTGGATCTGGCAGGGCTTTAGGCAGGAAACCAGCAGTAAGGAGAAATGCAGTGTTTTCCAGAAGAGGGTGAGGGCCCTGGGCTTCTGCAGAAGGGAGGCAGCGGCACAGACGGTCTGCATGACAGCTTCGACTGCTGCGTGCTTCTGGAAGAAACGCCGTGGCCCAGCTGGGGTGGGAATGGGAAGTACAAATCCTGAAGTCCCCAGGAGCCCAGAGAGGGCCATGCTTTCTGACACAGGGCACATGAGGCCAGACAAAGAGCAGCGTCCTTGGACGTCACACCCCTCATACCAAGGACATGACACATAAGGGAAGGTGCCATTTTGTCTGACTAAGAAGAAATACTGTTCTTTGTGGTCACAGGGAAGTGTGGGTTTTTCCCTCTTCAGTACCTTATTAGTGAAGACACTTGAGAGTTTAATATTTTACGTTTTTAATATTTTTATGTTTCGACAGTATTCTTCCTCAGTAATTCCCCAATAATTTTGAAATAGTGATCTGTTTCCTTTCCCCCTTTAGTCATATGTTGTTTGAATTCTTAACGCTATATATGTAAACATGTAGTTTTGTATTCTCTTTAATATATAAACTCATACACATATATTGGTTTTCTCTTAAAACCCTTGTGAAGGGAAAAAGAGTATTCTCTATTCAAGATTAGACTTTTCAGGCATTTTTACTTTTAATTTTTGATATGTGTTAATTATGCTGAGCTTTTTCATGGGTGGTAGCTGTCCCCATTATGTAACGGAGTGATGTATCCCCAATAATTTGAGGTTCTGTGGTTACACTGCAGTGTGACAGACATGAATACTTGGGTTAAGAGACATGAAAAACTAGCCCAGATCAAAATCTCTGGGAGCAGTCCTTAAAAATAAAAGTAAAGCAAATATTTACATTTTGTTTAAAGGAAGTTGTGGGAGATAGCCTTTCAACCAACTTTTTTTCTTAACATGGACATATGGATATGGATGTTTTCGTCAGAATTAAGTCATTGGTAAACTCTTTCTGAAGATTGGTCTATTTCATTTTCTTTCTGAGGACTCGAGATGGGCCTTGGATCTTCTAGGGTGAGGCCCTTTGGACTGGCAGGCTGTGTAGGATAGGGCTGTAAAGTATTTGGGCTTTCTGAAATGGAATACTATCTGTCTCTTTTGGCCATAGCTTTAAAGCCCTACGACTTTATAAATATAGTGAAATTTCATTGGGTTTTTTTGCATCATAGTAAAGGCACTGCAGTTTTAAAGGACGTGATACTAGATTGTAAGATCCTTGAGGGAAAGAACAAGTCTTATTTATCTCTTTTCTCCCTGCATTGGAAACACACCCTATATATATTTGGTACTCGGTAAATATTTACTGCGGCAAATTCTATCTAAAATTGTTTCACCCATCCCACCCCCCCACCTCCCCTCTGGTAACCACCAGTTTGTTCTCTATATTTAAGAGTCTATTTTTTGTTTGTCTCTATTTTTCTTTGTTCAGTTGCTTTGTTTCTTAAATTCCACGTATGAGTGACATCATATGGTATTTGTTTCTCTCTGGCTTACTTCAGTTAGAAGTAAGTTCATCGATGGATGCTTGGGTTGCTTGCATATCTTGGCTATTGTGAATAATGCTGCAATAAACAGAGAGGAACATAGATCTTCTCAAATTAGTGTTTTCATGTTCTTTGGGTAAATAACTGGTAGTGTAATTATGGATCATATGGTAGTTCTATTTTTAAATTTTTGAGGCACCTACACCCTGTTCACCAGTTTCATTCCCATCAACAATGCACGAGGGTTCCTTTTTCTCCACATCTTCACCAGTGTTTCTTGTTCCTTGTGTGTGTGTGTGTGTGTGTGTGTGTGTGTGTGTGTGCGCGTGTGTGTGTGTGTTTTATCTTAGCTATTCTGACCAGTGTGAGGTGATCTCATCATGGTTTTGAATTGTATTTCCCTGATGATGAGTGATGTTGGGCATGTTTTCATCTATCTGTTGGTCACCTGTATGTCTTCTTTGTAGAAATGTCTGTTCTTGTCTTTTGCCTATTTTTTAATTGTTTTGGGGGGTTCTTTTTGGAAATTGAGTTGTATAAATTCTTTATAGTTTTTGATATTAACCCCTTATCAGATATATCATCTGCAAGTATCTTTTCTCACTCAGCAAGTTGTCTTTTTGTTCTGTTGATTGTTTTCTTTGCCATGTGTCCTATGAACTTTTATATCCTTTCAAATTTGGTGTAAGGGACAGACACCATATTGAATCACTTCAGGACACACTGAGGACAGGAAAAGTAAGGGAGAATTGTGCTTCTCTTCTGCGGACCTTATTTATTTCTCATTTCAGTGAGTACTTAATGGGAACATTTCTTTGTCTTACCTTTCTCTTCCCTTTATTTAACTAAGTGAGTCACCAACTATTTATTTAGCATATGTTTTATACTATTGATTGGGCTAAGCTGTGGGACTATAGCAGTAAATAAAATCTAATACTTGCTTCCAAAAGGAGACAGGCTAAGAAATTAATTGTTGCAAGTGACCCGAGAAGAAGGATTTATCTATATGCCACTAACCACTCTTTTATTATCTTCTCTTTCCCATATTCATTTTTCTTTCTCACTTTGAGAAGTAGAAATCTCATAGGGCATGCGGGGAGAGAGGACAAACCCAGATCTACAGTGCTGTGACCAAACATGGTCTAGCTAGTCAGCTGTGTTCTGTGTGGCATTAACTAGTAGAGTTTACTAGAGAGTGAATGAGCTGCAGAGCCTACGTGCAAGTGATCTGAGGTTTATTGGGTTGATTACACGGCTGTTACTGACCATAATACAGAATGGACAGTGGTAAAAAGGGATGAGCAGGGCTGGATCAATCTCGGTGTGTTCAGGGGCCAGAGAGAATGATTGTGTGTGTGTGTGTGTGTCTGTGTCTGTGTGTCTGTGTGTGTCTGTGTGTAGGGTGAGGAAGGAAGGAAGGGCAGGAAATGGTGAGGCTTGGGCTATGTGACAGGCTAGGGCACGGGTAATCTGTTCTCACGTAAGCACATGGATACTGTGTATTTCGGTATTTGGCGTTCAGTGCATATTCATCTCACTTATATGAATCCTATGTTTTTGTCTTTTTTTTTTTTTTCTTAAATATCCTCTTATTTTCTGACTTTTACGTGTCATCCTTACGCAGGAGCCAGGCTGGTCTTCTGCGTATCATTCCAGTGTTAATTGATGTGCTGCCGAAGCGAGCACTGCTTTCTAACTTCTAATGTGAATGTCAATATGACTATCTCTTCGGCTTTGTGAGGAATAGAGTCTGCATCCTGTGCGTTTTGTTCTTTTTCACGTCAGGCAGCTTTCAGACTGCTTCCCAGGCACTAAAGGATTTAGTTGGAGTATTTTCCCCAGGGCAGTGAGGTTTTAGATCTATCTGGAAATTGCTGATTCTTGTCCTGTTTTGTTTAGAAGGATATCATCTCAGAGCCCATTTTCCTCTTTCTCTTTCATCTCAAAACTTTTCCTCCTCTTCTCCCGAGCAGTGGTTCTGGATGGTTGTGGCTGTGCATATATTCAACACTTTCACATTAAAAGGCTAATACTTGTTTTGCTAGTGTAAGTGGAGAAGGAATAATGTATATTAATCCATGACCTAAATAAGGAAAGACAAAATATGATACGTTTCTACAGCTATTCTACCTTCTATACTCAGTCCGACCATAGTAAACCTAATATTTATTGCTGTTACCTATTAGCAGTATTTTAGGTTTTCTCTTCCTTGCCTTGGTTGATTAGCTGCAAACTAATGTAATTACTGCTTTTTTATTTTCAAATTTGAAATTGTTGCCGTATTTTCTTAAAAATTTTTTTCTGATGTTTATTTATTTTTGAGAGATAGAGCACAAGCAGGGGAGGGGCAGAGAGAGAGGGAGACACAGAATCTGAAGCAGGCTCTAGTCTCTGAGCTGTCAGCACAGAGCCCGACGCGGGGCTCGAACCCACGAACCGTGAGATCATGACCTGGGCTGAAGTCGGATGCTCAACCGCATGAGTACCCCGAACCTTGCTGTATTTTCAATTAAACAATTACATGTTGATGGCCAAGTGTGTGCAGAGCAGTGCACTAGAAACTGGTAGAGGCCATGAAAGTGAGGAGTGGAGGGTCCCTGCCTTCCAGGGGCTTATGATCCAGGGGGGAGGACACATTCACACATCTGTTACCAGGCAGCACGGAACTCAGCAACTGAAGAACAGCACAGCTCTTTGGGTGTGGAGAGGCAAATAGAAAATCTACACAGAAGTCACCCCAAGTTCATGAATTTCATTGATCCCTGGAGTTGTTCCATAATGCCTAAAATCCCCACTATGCACAGTGCTGGGATTTTACTGTAACACCTCCTCTGAGTGTGCTGAAAAATAGTACACATGTGTGAAAAGTCTAAAACTCATTAAAAGGATATGCAGTGGAAAGTAAGTCTGTCTCTTAACACATTCCATCATTTTTTTCTCTCTAGAAACACACTTTCCTGTGTGTGATTAATTGCTAAAGATTTGTTGCCGATAGATTCTTTTGAAATTTGATGGACTTCAATCCACATTGTGCAAATGTTCCAGGTGCTGTGTTAAGTACCGGGAATATCAAGACTAGGATTCTGATCTGTGAGAGTTCACAGGCTAGTACCCATGAAGACGTAAGTTAGTCTGTAGCACAGGGACACGGGGTGAGTGTTTTGATAACTCAGGGAGGGAATGAATGACTCACCGCTCTAGGGTGCGGCTGGCGCTGCTTCGCAGAGACCATGAAACTTGGGGATGTGGTGACTGAGGGGTAGGCAAGTAAATCTTTGGCCAAAGGAACCATATGCTCAAAGAAAGAGATGACTGAAAATATACGTTGAGTGTATCTCAGTAGGGATAGAGTGTAGGCTTTGCACGCGGTGGTAGATAATGTCTGGAGGTTGAGGCCAAGTCATCGAGAAGACCGAATTTCTCATCCTGCAAAACTTGGACATCATCGCATGGAAGGGTGGAGAGAAGGGTTTGAAGGTGTGCAGGGTGGTGAGGCATACCTGTCTTGATTTTGGCGGCCCTCTGACAGATGAAACAGACAGAGGAGGAGGTACAGGTGCGGGATCATTTAGGTTATAACCTTGGCTGTCACCTGGATGGGATGCGATGAGAAGGTGGCAGTGAGAATGACAAGGAAGCAGATCTGAGAGATCCCACAGAGGGACAAATGACATGCCCTGATGATAACAGGAAAGGATCAGGCGTGCTCCCTTTTCAGGATTTGTGTACCTGCTAAGAGGAACTCAGAGATGAGTGACTTAGACACAGTCTTTGTCCTGAAGGAGCCAGCAGCCTAGTGAGAAACGGCATTCTTGCGATGCAGAAGTAAGAGACGAGAAGAAAAGGCAGCCGTGAAAAAAAGTCAACACTTGAATGGTGGGCATATAAAAAGCCGTCAGCGATAGAGGAAAAGTGATTGATCACACAGGTGGAACGAGACACGGCCTGGAATAGCACAGTGGTGGGAGTCTGAGCAGGGAGAAGTGCTCCTTAGTGTCTGACCACCACTGCCAGGAAGTCAGTTGGAGTGGAGATGGAGAGCTCCGGCAGTGAGGACAGCTGAGTTGACATCTATACCATTTTTTAAAGCTTATTTATTTATTTAGAGACGGGAGAGTGCAAGCAGGGAAGCACCAGAGAGGGAGGGAGGGAGAGAGAGAATCTCAAGCAGGCTCCTCACTATTGGCTCAGAGCCTGACACAGGGCTTGAACTCATGAACTGTGAGATCATGACCTGAGCCGAAGTCAGACGCTTAACCGACTGAGCCACACAGGCGCCCGAATGCCACGTGGACTTCTAAGGGCAGATATGATCAGTGTGGTGCGGAAAGAAAGGTCAGAGTGGGAGGCCCCTGGCCCCATTGGCTGTGACGCGGGCAGCCGGGGCACAGGACGGGCTGGGGGTCTCCTGGGTGCGTTCTCCCCCCCGCGGTTGGTAAACAGGAGGCCAGATGTGGGATCTGGAGGGAAGGACGGCGTCAGTTGGGGAAAGTGGTGATGAAGCCAGAAGGGAAGGTTCCTCAGAGCCCTCTCCCTCCCTTCCCGGCGTCCGGGCCTAGCGTCGAACCTGGGCTGTGCCTGGCGCTGCCTTCGCAGGCAAGCCTCTTGCTGCTGCTGCTGAGCGTCTGATTTTCTGTATAAACCCCCAGGAGCTCATTCTCTCTGGGCTCTTTGGATTCCCCCCTCTGCTTGCAAAGCTCGCCAAGTCCCTTGTCGTCATAGGCGGGAGCGGCCCTGTCTGCACCTTCCTGACCTGCATGGACACGGATGCAGAGGGCACCTCGGAGAGGAGCAGAAGGCTGGATAGCCTAGAAGGTTCCCGCGTGTGCGGTGAGCCGCACAGACTGCCGGCCGCGGTCCTGACCTGGCGTTCTGGAAACGGCGGCGGCCTACACCCCCGGGGGGACGCTGGGGAGTTTGTTAGGTCACCGGAGCCCGGGGCTGGAGGAGCGGCTCGAGTGTGCGGCGTGCTTCTGTTGTTTATAACTCTCCGTAATGTGTGATAACAAAGAGCAGTGTGTGGTAACAAAGAACACTCTGTTACCACGAGTTATTTTAACCACCAGCTTTAGGCTGCTCAGCCTTTTTTCCCCTTCTTGCTCACAGCTCTGTTTCTGGCTCCACGTCTCTGTCACCCACCTCCACCCCCTCCCCAGCTGCTTCCTCCCCGGCTCCTTGTGGGAAGTCCTTCCCCGTGGCTGTGTCTCCTCCACCACCCAGAACCTGCTGGAGGCTTCTTGGCTTTTATAGCATTAGCAGTTTGCCACTCTTTCCCCCTCTCCTCACATATACGTTTTTCTTCCAAAGGGCTCTTCACATTTAGAGAGCCCCCAAGATGGCGGGTCATGTGTGTGTGTGTGTGTGTGTGTGTGTGTGTGTGTGTGTGTGTGAGAGAGAGAGAGAGAGAGAGAGAGAGAGAGAGAGACAGAGAGAGAGACAGAGAGACAAGGAAGATAGATCACAGGTTTTGAGGGCCTCATAGTCATTTTCTCTCTTCCCAGAGGGCTTCTTACTGATTTTTCAGTGCTACTAAGCCTAAAACACAGAGTAATCTTTATTAAAATGGGCCTGAAAAAGTTTTGTTTTGTTCTTAAAATCCTGACCTCGGACTTTGGATGGCAGCCGAGCCCCCAGTGACTTGGAGAGAGGTGGGAGATCAGATGTGACCATGGTGTAAATGTCTGTGAGTCCAGAATGGCCAGAGACACTCTGTCTAGAGGTAATTTCTACATACATTGCCTTGTATTCTGGCATAAAGTGGCAAGTGATACCAGAAATTGGTGATGTTGGCAAATGATAATCTGAGACGTGTCTATAGTGAGCTTTACTAATCATCTTCCATAAATTTCAAGGTTGAGAGTGATTTTATAGCTTTCCTTACACTTTGTGAAGTGGATTTTTGTTTGTTTTCCTTGGTTTATAGAATACACTGACATATTTTTCTGAAATCCCTTTACTCTTAAAACTTACTGTATGTGTCTTCAATGGTATAAATCATACCAAGAAAGAGTATTTTAAAAGTCTGGAGATTTCGATGGAAAAAAATCCCTGTAGATTGGCTCTGTGCCCTTTGAAAAGTCAGTTAACATCTCCATTGCTCATTTTCTTTACCTGTAAATAGGGGGCGGTGCGTTGACCAACCCTAACGTCTTATCCATTTCAAGCATTCATTAGTAATTGGACACATTCAGAGCTAGAAACTGGATCTCACTTAGTATTCAATTCCACGTGTCTGGTAGCAGGAACTGAGAGGGCTCAGGGTAAGGATGATAGACTGTAGGCTCCGTTGGAAAAAGTGGGATATTGATTAGTGATGTCTGCTTTGAATGCAGTAATTAGGGGTAGTGGCCTGAGTTGTTGTTGGTCGTGGTGGTGGTGGTGGTGGTGGTGTGTCTGTGTGTATTTCTTTTCTGCTATTCCTTCTCTAGCCCTACTAAGGCCATAAGGCAGTTGTGTTTTCAAAAGACACCTCCCCCCACCCCCAACACACCCCTCATTTGAACTAAATGGTGATGAAACCCCCAGCATATGCTCTATTCCTTTTCTGGATGATTTAGCTTCAATTAAATCAGATTTCTGTTCCCTGCTTCATATGTCTTAAAACCAAAGGGAATAGAGAAAAGGATGTGTGGACGGCTCATTTGAAACATATCACTACTTCAAACCTAGGTCTCCTAAAACCTTGG